CCCATTTCTATCCTTGTCTCTCCATTCACTATCCAATCTCCAGGGGCTTGGACGTAACATGGTTATTAGATCTTTTTTTAGTTGTATGAGGACTCAAATTTTAATTTTTTTTATGTAGAATCGAACATCGTTTTCTTTAAAAGAAGACGTAGAATACTTGCGTTACATCATCAAAGCCAATTCACTGATTGTCCCTGTAAGTATGGAATACGATGCTCTTTTTTACGAATAACAGACTAACTACCTTTCTTAAAGGATTCACAAATCTCATTATATCCAAGTATGCTACTCTCGCGTATATACGGATCGACAGTTCCTGGTCCGGCGGTAAGAGCTCCAAGCTCATTCTGATACTTATTTATTGGTGAGAGAGAATGGGACTCCAAGGATTATGGTGAATTCAATCACTCGCATTACACTGGATCAGTGCATATTAAAAACTAATTTATATAAAATATCTCAATGTAGTGATACAATTTAATCAACTTTGACAATAAAATGATACACATATATTTTGTTAAATAACGTGACAATATCATTAGTAGATAGTTAATCGTTTAAAATATGTATATACTTTTCCATTTAACTTTGCTAATTTCATGTAATGCAACTTTTAGTACGCATTGATCTAGGCCGGTATTCATAGTCGATTCTTATTTCAAGACCGTCTTAAGTAGTGTCTTAAGTCGCTAATATGGCCTTCTAATTGGTTCATGACTTCTTAAGACTGTACTTAAGACGGTCTTGAATATAAGATCTGACTATGAATACCACCCCTAGTGTAATGCAAGTGAGCAAATTCGCTATTAGTTTCTCAGGCGAGCAATCTTTGTTCAACCAATAGCGTATAGATGCGTCCCATGAGAACAAATGTTTTCTTTAATTTTTTTAATGGAAACTAAATCGATATTGAATAATTTCAAAGGTCGAATCCAAGATCACTCACAACGTTGAGTTTAAGATTATTTCCAGACTCGTCCTTGCGCGGATAAAGTGGAGCGTTGTGACCAGTGACTGAATCCTAAGCTCCATGATAATCGTACGTCATAAGG